GGCCAATTAGACTAATCATCCCAGCCTCCTTAGAGTAACTACCTTAATCTGGTGATAAAAGGCATTAAACTAAGTGTGAATTAACCTAACTAATCAAGTTGAAAAGTAGTAGAGCACGTCAAGCCTTTGGGGGAAATGAAATAATGGCATGTAGGAAGAATGTTGGGACTGGCTAAGGGGATCCTGCCATGCTAACTCTGTGGGGCTTGCAGGAAATAGCAAACCCATCCAGATTCCAGCATGGAGGGCAGGCCACTGCCAGCCAAGGCCTTGGAAGGATATCACTTGGGGGGCCTCTGTCCTCTCCTTCCTCTTGACTAGAAGGTGACTTTGTGAACTTGGAGAGGTGTGTCCAAGACCAGCTGATGACAGTGCTGAGGACAGACTATATTCACCAAGGAAAGGGAGCTTCAGGATTCTACAGAAGTCCAGCACAAAGTGATGCCGTGCTTAAGAGGAACTTCATGGGACTCCCATGACTGGGAAAGACAGGATTTCCAGGAGCTGAGTTACCCCTTTGGCATCAATCAATCAATGTTAAGAACCTACTATGTGCCAAGCACCATGCTAAGCACTGGGGACACAAAAAGAGGCACAGACCGTTCCTACCCTTGAGGAGCTTATAGTCTAATGGATGAGATAATGTGCCAATGAGTATATATAAAGCAAGCTATATACAGGATGAAGAGAAAATAATTGAACACGAAAGGCCTAGAATTAAGAGGAGTTGGGGAAGTCTTATGTGCTCTAAGCTTGACCCTGGACACCTGGGCACTGCACTTGTAGGATAGTGAGCCTCCAGTTTGAGGTCAATATTTTGTCCTCTTCCAACACTTCTGCCATATTAAGTACTCATTTCTAAAACCTGATGAAGTCTGGCTGATGAAATGATATCACCAGATAATGAATTGGGAAGTACACCGATGATGGGGGCTTGTGAGCTAGAGAAAATAGGAAACCACACCCAATCCCAATAGGTTAACCCTAGAACCTTAAAGGAAGATGTAGCTCATTTCCTTGTTTTTGCAGGCCCTGTGGCTTAGCACAGTGCCTGCCACCTAGCCAACGCTTAATAAAAACTTCATTAGCTAGTTTGGAGCGTTCCACCTGCCAGGGCTTGTGGGTAGAGAATGTGAGCCTAGAACGTGGCCTGGGGATTTCAATGAGGAGGAGAGAAGATGACCTCCCTCATCCCTCTTCCCATCAGGTGTTGGCTACATCAGGCTGAACACCCAGGCCTCCCCCAGCCTTCAAACTGTCTGCACGTCTCTGCACACCTCTCAATCTCAGCCTCAGTTCCCATCATAATAACACATGACATTTACAAACTGATTTACCAACATTTCCTTTGAAGCTCAGAATCGGCCGTATATGGTTGGGATTATTATGATCCTGATTTTATGGATGAGGAGACTAGATCTCACAGTGACTTCCTCGGCATTGTTCTGCTAATCAATGCTTGAGGCAGGATTAGAATCCAGGTCTTGCTGACTCCAAGCCCAGGATTCTGTCTGCCATCCTGCACTGTTTCTCAATCATTCCTTCTCATTTGTGTCCCATTCATTCATTTTGCTGTAATGTACTCAGTCCTGTCTTTCTCCTCTGGTGCCCTTGGCCAGCCAGAGCTACCCTGAGCCACTGGCTTCTCACTGTTTACTTGGACTGAGCTGCAGAGCAAGTCGTTAATAAAGAAGACCTTGCCAGGTAGAATTAATGATGGGGACTGTATTTTTCCTGCAGTAATGGGCTTGAGACCAAGGTCATGCTGTAAAAATGGATTTTGCAGAAAAACAAAAATGAGTAATTTACCCCACTAATGTTAGGAAAAGGAGATTCCATCTGCCTGGAATAATAAGAGGGGCATAGCCTGGCAACGCGTTTCCTTGTCCCTCTTGTTCACTGAATTTGGACATGTGAATCTCCTTTGAAAAATGTGTTAATGACTTATTTTCTCATTCTCTGTATCTCCAGTACTCAGCACGGCCGCTCAGCATGCAGGAAGTGCTTACTAAGGACTTGCTGATTGATTGATTGATTGACTGTATGCCCCCCTGAAAGTCTTCCTTCATCCACCACTTTTAATTTCATAAAACATCAATTAGCATTTATTAAGTGCCACCGACTATGTGCCAGGCCCGGTGCTAAATAAAAACCAGATATTTATATAAAATGAGCTTTTGCTTTAAGGCTTTGGCCATGGGGGAATCAGAGAAGGTGGTAATTATCTCGTCTCATCCACAGAACCTTAAGGTTTCTAAAGCACTTTCTGCACTGCACCTTTGTGAAATAGGAATCCTCATTTTACAGTTTTAGAAACTGAGGCTTAGGTTAAGTATTTGCCCAGGCTCACCCAGTTAGTAAGTATCCAAACGGAGACTGAAAGGCGGGTCTGTCTTGAGTAGAGGTCGTTTTACTGTACGAAATGAGGTCATCTCCCCATCACACCTTAGACCAAAGATCTCAGGAAGATACCTTCCAATCATGAGATCTCCCATCTATGGCCCGAAGTGACCTCAGAAATCGTCTCGGCCAACCCTCTCACTTTACAGAAGAGGAAACTGAGGTTCAGAGGAGTAATTGTTTTGGATCCTAGTTTGACCTTCTTTACTCTTCTTGGGTGGAACATACGCCTATGCTGAAAGAATGACTGTGTGGAACCTAACTCATTAATAGATTGTAAGCTCCTGGAGGACTTCACTGTTGCCTTCATAAGATGTCCATCACATACTAGCAGCTTTTACAATACTTGCTGAATTGGGTGGAATTGTCAATATTATTAGTCAAAAGTAAACTTCTTGAGGGTGGAGACACTTTTCATTTTGTCTGCTGTCCCCAGCGGCTAAGCACCGTTGTAGGCACTTAATGAATGCTTATTGGATTGGATTGGGTTATTTAATTGCAAATTGTTTCTCTCTGGGCCTCAAGCCGGAGATCTCCAAAACAAACATTTTCTACCGCTGTGAATGCCAAATAATCTCTCAATCTGGGAACATATTTTCCCCTCTGTTGTGACTTTCTGTGGTTTGCAAAGTATGTTCAAATGTGGAGTAACCAGTGTTACAGCAGAGCCCCCGTGGGAGAATCGGAAACACCCCCTGTGTCTTCCTCTGGCAGCTTGAAATTCCACAGATCCATCCCTGTTGGGCCTGGGACTCTCAGCAAAGTCCAAATTCAGCAGCTGCCAAAGGGCAAACACCCTCTCAAGAACTGTGTCCCCATAGTGGGTGGGGAGGGGTGTGCTGAGAGAGGAGCCCGGAGCCACCCCCTGCTCCTCTGGCTGTGTGGCAATTAATAAAGGGCTGAGAGGCCCCTCAGCAAAATTGGCTTGGGTGCAAAGAGTTCAAATCTGAGCCTGCTCCTCAGCAAGCCATGGACATTCTGAAAGGACAAAGCACCGCAGTGGCGAAATGGCTCAAATTTATTTTCCCCCCCTTGAAAATAAAACAAAAGCAGAATGAGGTGTCAGGCTTTTTACTTTTCCAGTGATCCCTGCTTGCAATTCAATGGAAATTATGCTAATTCCACAATCCCAATTTCCCAAATTGGCTTTTATCTCCTGGGAACACTGTCTGCCTTGGGTTTGGCTTTAATGTGAGCTGGGGTGGAATAGTAATGCCTGTCTCAATTACCAATCTGGTGGAAGGTCATTCTCTGCAGCAATCTTATGTCCCGGGAGCTCTGAAATGTCCCAATGGCCACGTGCAAATGACTGCTAGTTCTTCTTACTTGACATGGACAAATCCAAAGATATCATACATAGATACCTAGATGCGTGGATATGTATACATATGTGTGTGTACATATACTTTTCTATTTATATACACGTATATACATGTGTATGTATATACTTATAGACGGATCTATATTCGTCTATGTGTATGTGTATATATGCATATACATGCACATGCCTACCTATATACATATATGGCACTTGTGTGCCATTTTCACCACTTTAGGCTTTCAGGTCTATATCTATATCTATCTTTCTATCTAACAATCACCAAATTTCTCCCTCCTCTTAGTATTATTTGCACTTGTATCGTCAAGATCACCATATATAGGGGCAGCTAGGTGACGCAGTGGATAGAGCACTGGCCCTGAAGTCAGGAGGACCTGAGTTCAAATACTGTCTCAGACCAAACACTTGACACTTACTAGCTGTGTGACTCTGGGCAAGTCACTTAACCCCAATTGCCTAAAAAGGAAAAAAAAAAGCCCATCACTGTAGATATTGTTTTCTTGGCATCATTTGACTCTTGTTTCAGTTCATCTAAGTCTTCCCATATGTTTCTGAAGTTTTCGTATTTGCTATGTTTTATGAGGCAGTAAGTCATAGTTAGGACATCCAACTTGTTTGGCCATTCATTCCCTGATCAATGGGGACCAACTCTGTTTCTGATTCTTTTCTGTCACAACTTTGCTACATTTTGTGTCTTTCTTTTTGTCCTTGACTTGTTCCCTTGGTATCTTCCTTTCTGGGGGGTTGTATACCATGGTGGGACCCCTAGATCAGTGACCTTCCTCATAGTTCACCAGAATAGTTGGACCAACTCCCAACTCCACCAACAGTCCAATCCATTCATTTTACAGAGAAGGAAACTGAGGTCCAGAGAGACTTTCCTAAGGACAAGTGCTTCAAAATAGCAGAGCCCAGATGGAAATTCCTCATGTTTCCCATGTTTGGACCGTCATCAGAGCAAGCCCCCCTTTTCTCTTGAAGTGGGAGTTGAGGGAGGGGCTGTCCATTTGCCCTATGGTGGTGTGCCCAAGAGGAATTCTGTGGAAGGGCATCAACGATGGGCTCCTTGGCATCCTCACCATGGTGGGCAAGCCCCCTTGGCTCTTTTGGCCCGACATTCATGTCAGTCTGCATAATGATGGGTTGGGTTGTACAAAGCACTAGAAATGAGTAGCCCTCTAGTGAGATGCTTCTGTCGATGTGTGCGCGATTCAGTCCCTGGTGGTGTTAACTGATGCTTTGTTTGTGTGTTTATTTCCAGATAACTTGTTCAAGCCGAAGGAGAGGTGCATATCAGAGAAAGAGATGCGTATGAGATCTAAAAGGTATTGAGTGACTTGTGTTTGGACTCCCCTCTATATGAAGTGGGTCCTGCTCCCACTAGCAGGACTTTGTGTGGCTCACATCCATGTGTTTTAGACGCCAACATCCTTTGGGGATTGATGATACCTGCTAACAAGAGAACCTTTTCTTCCTAGCCTGGGTAGGCAGAAGGATGTGGTACCTCACCGCCTCCAGGGTCACCAAGGCAGTAGGTCAGGGCTACATCTATCAGCCACGCTGAGCCTAGACATAGCACAGGGAGGCACGGCTGAGGTCCAAGGTGCTCCAAAACAAATCTGAAGAATGGGGCAGGTCTTAGATTAATTTGGAGCCCATCCTTGGGCTCTGGGAAATTCTTGACTCAACTCACATTCAGTTGGATTCAATTCATTAAGCTTTATCAAGCCCCTACTATGGGCCAGGCACTGTGCTGGGTGATAGTGATAAAAACGAGCCAGCCCCTGCCCTCCGTTAGCTTCCATTCTACTGGGAAGGTACAACATGTGCACAGATAGGCAAATTCACAATATATACAAAATGATTTTGGGCGGACATTAATGGGCAAACAGAGAGGTTGTGCTTTATCCTAGAGGCACTAGTGAGCCACAGAAGCCTCGTGGGCAGAAGAATGACATGGTCAGACTGGGACTTTGAGAACCACAAATGTGCTTCTGTCTGGTCCAGACTCCAAATTCTGGACCAAAGCTCCTGGTAAGCCCTGAATTGGTTAGAAGGCCCTCCTTGGCCTGCAAAGGGTGTGCCTTCAGCTACACATCCCAGCAGTGGCCATGCAGCCTTGCTTAAGACCTCCAGTGGAAGAAAGCCTTCTTGGCCCCAAGGCATCCCCTTCTGCTTCTGGATAATTAGTCATTAGGAGGTTTTCCCTGACACCCCATCTGAATCTACCTGTGCAGCCTCCCTGCCTGCTCCTCCTCCAGCCTTCAGAGGGCAGAGAGGACAAATCTCATCCCCTTCTATGTGACAGTTCGGTCACCTTGGAGGTAGCTGCCATGTTGCCCTGAGTCTTTCTTTCTCCAATATCAATATCCCTGTTCCTGCCAATATCTTGCTGGCACAAGACACAACCGATGGCTGCTTCTTGTTCTTGACATCAACCAAAGACTGTTTGAAAATCAATCTCAGAAGTCTGGTGCAAATTGAAGGACCAAAATAACCATAATCATAATCATTGCAGCAGCATTTATACCATGCTGTAAGGTTTACAAAGTGTTTTACAAATGTCATCTCCTCACAGCAACTCTATCATTATCCCTCTTTTCAGATGAGGAAACTGAGGCAAACATGCTCAGGGTCACACAGCTATTAAGGGGCTCCCTGACTCCAGGTCCAATGTTCTATCTACTGCACCATCCAGCTGCCTTGTATTTCCTGAAGTCTAGTGCACGTGGGAGGCAAGTTACTTTGGCGCATTCCCTCTTACAGCTCACAGCCTGGCCCCATCATGCCAAGCTTGGGAAGCAGATTAAAGTCCTACTTGCTGACTCATCAACTTAAGAACACAGCCCTGCGGTCCCAGGCACTTCCCCAGGGTCTCACCTTCAGAATCCACCCAGATCTGCCACCATCTTTCCTAATACCTGGTGTTTAGGCAGCCTCAGAGTGAGGATTGAATAACAGAGCACCGGAGGAAAAGCTCTTGTTCCTGAAATTTCATTAGTCTGACAAAATCTGCAGTAATATGAGAAATTATAATAATTACCCCTAATCTATAGTGCACTGATCTGCATTAATAAAAATGAACACACTTTTCCAGGCACCACCTTTTGATTTTATCGAGTTAAATTGTTTACTTGGTAATTGGTGAAATTTGATCATCTGCAGTGAGGCTTCTGGTAATTAACTGAGAGAGAGGATAAACTTGCCTGTTCTATTAGCAGTCTGAACCCCAGCAAGCTGGCATGGGCCTCCAAAGTGCCACCGGATTGGAAATACTTCCCCCTGCCAAGGCAATGGCGATGACAATGATGATGATGATGATGATGATGATAATGACGACAGCCAAAGCCCCCATTTCTGTAGCATTCTAGGAGTTAGAGAGTACTTCGCCAGACAACAGCCCTGCCAAGCCTAGAGCGGGAATGTCATTTTTCAGTTCAATCCAACAAGTATTTATCAGACGCCTACTATGTGCCACACGCTGTGTCGGGTACTTAGGATACAAAGAGAGAACTGAAACAGTGCCTGCCCTCCTTAGTGGGCAGAGATGACGTGCACATAGAGAAATAAGTCTGAGGTCATGAGAGGAGAGGGAGATCACTGACCACTGGGGAGGTCGAGGAAGACTTGACATGGGAGGTCCCATGATCCAAAACCTGATGAAACAGAGGTGAAGAGAGAGGAGGAGCCTGTACAGATGGAGGGACAGGAGATAGAATGCCCAGTTTGGAAAGAGCAGGGTGACCAGAGTGAGCATGAAATGCACGAGGGGACATCCAGCCAGATGTGCCGCCATCTTCTCTGACACCTGGTACTCAGGCCACTTCAGAGTAAGGATAGAATAGTGGAACACCAGAGGAAGTTCTGGCATGAAATCAGTGTGGGGAGGTAGGCAGAAGCCAAACTGTGAGGGGCTCTTAAATGCCAAGCTGAGGGGTTTTTAAATTATACTAGTGACAGTAGGGAGAAGGAAGGTGCCTTGGGTAGATTAGTGCTTTAGGAAGATTCTTTTGACAACATTGTAGAAGACCGATGGGAGAAAAAGAGAGACTAGAAGTCAGGACAATGATAAGGAGGTTATATCAGTAGTCTAGGTGAGAGGGGATGAGATCCTGGACCAAAGTGATAACCAAGTGATTGAAGAGAAAGGGGGGATGGGGGGTGTGGTAGGACTGGAATCAAGACTTAGCAACTGGCTGGATATGATGGGCAAGGCAGAACGAGGAGTGGAGGATGACTCTCAAGTGTGACCTCTGGAGTCCTCAAAAGGTCAGGGGAGTATGGAGGAGGGGCAGGCCAGGGAAGAAGAGAGTGAGCAATGTTTCGGACATGCTGAACTTGAGACACCTGCGGGACATACCAGCAGAAGGGCCAAGCAGGCTGCTGGGGTTGTAGAGCATAGGTATGAGAGGGCTGGCGACATAGATTTGTACGGGTGAGATTTTAACCTGTGGGAGCAAAGACGATCACCAAGAAACAGAATGTGGAAAGAAGACAAAAGGCCCAGGACAGAACCTGGGAGCTCCTTGTGCTGGACTGAGGGAGGACAGTGAGGGATAATGATGATGAAGGTGTTCAGTGGAAGAGAGGTCAGATGGGTAGATGGAGGACTGAGAAAGTGCAGTGTCATGGAAGCCAAGGAATGAGAGAGTGTTTGAAAAGGACAAGAAGGATGAAGACTGAGAAAAGCCCATTGGATTTGGCAGTGAAGAGATTATTCATAACCTGGGACAAAGAAGTTTTTGGAGAGTCATGAGATCAAGCCAGATTACAAGGAACTGAGATTTTTATGGGAGATGATGAAATAGTGGTGCTGCCTGCACATAAAAGCTTTATTTCCCAGAAGTTTGCTTGTGGGTGGGAGGACAAAGAGGATGATCTCTTGAAGGGATGGCAGAGTCACCACTTTATGTACTCCCAATAGTTAGGTCAAACCCATCCCCAGACTGGATAGAGAGTGGCTATGTGATATCATTGGTAAAGTGGATTCCAAGGGAGTGTCTACTAAGGCAGGTCAGCACTCTCTCTACAGCATTCTCAGAGAATTGTCCAGAATACCAAGAGGTTAAGCGACTTTGCAGTCATGATGTCAGAGATGAGGCTTGAACCAAGATCTTTCTACTCCCAAAGCCATGCTTCTATTCTTCCCTGATGCTTCTCAGGTTAAACCACTCCCTGTTGATTGAGCAGAAAAATCCATCATAACTGTTGTTTTGAAGACAAAATAATTAAAAATTAGTTAGAATCATAGAGAAAGAAGAGACTTCAGATAACATCGAGTCCTTTCTCATGGTTCGGCCTTCCAGGGCCAACCAGTACAGGTCTAACCTTCTCTACCACAATAGCCTCCAAAGGCTTGGGCGGGGCACAATGGGTAAAGCGGGCAGAGTCTTAGACTTAGACCCAGGTTAGAACCCTTATCCCTGATCCTTATTGTCAAGTCCCAACCTCTCTGAGCTAAGCTTTGCACCCTCTTCTGTGCAATGGGAATGATGATACCATCAATACCTATCTCCCAGGACTGTTGGATAGGAAGCATCCTGCAAACCTTGCTATAAATGTTAGTGGCACTGGTCGTTTTCATTGTAGTTGAAGCTATGTTACCCTTTGGTGTTGTCTTGGGTTTTTCTACCTGTTCTCAGATGGCACCACCCCCATCCTGGTCTCTATCTTCTGTCCAAGCTCCACCGAGTCAACGTCCTCCCTGATGGGTGACATCATCATATTCCAGATGTGGTTGGAGTGACTGGTACACTCTCCATGAGAATCTTGGTACCTCTATTAACACAGTCTAAGATGGCACTCAGTGGCAGTGTATGGTTGGAGCTGGACCTTGAAGTCAAGAACACCTGGGTTCAAGTTCTCCTTCCAAACACAAACTGACCCCCGTTTCCCCCAACTACTTCATAAGATGGTTAGAGATATAAATACTACTCTATATCAATAGAGCATATTTCCAATGTAGGGACTTCCTTACATTGCGCTGACAAAGTCACAAGTCTGGATTTATTTTTAAGGAAAAGTTCCCACCCCCTAGGGCAGCTGCCGTATCCCAGTGTTAGCTTTTGTTGAACTTCTGGTCCACTTAAATACTCAAATCTGTTTCATTTGAATGATTCTTTAGGCACAGCTCTTCTTGAGGAAACCAAGGCCCTCAGAAGGCAGTTCACTTACTTCATATCACCCAGCTAGTTAGAAGCAGTCAGTGACCAAACATTTCTTAAGAGCCTACTCTGTGCAGGGCATCAGGAGTACCGCCCAAGAGTCTTGACTACCGGACAAAGCAGCTATGCTTTCCAATGTGGGCTGCCTTCAGCTTAATAATACAGTATCCAATGAGGTTTGCAAAACACTCTACATATGCTCTCTCTTTTGACCATTACAACACCCCTGTGAGCTGGATGCACTGCTGGGCCATTTTACAGATGAGAATGCCAAGGCTCAGAGTTTGTGATTTACCCAGGGTCATGTAGCCGATTAATTTCAGACATAGGCTTTGACCCAAGGGTTTCCTGACCTCTGACCACTGAGATAGGTGCTGTTTTCAAGGTCCTCTTACAGACACAACCTGAAAAAGATAGAGCCACTCCAAGGAGCCAAAAGATTCAGGTTGGTTTCCTTCCCACCATGATTCCTTAAGAGAATCATTCCCATTATGTAATGGCATTTCCCAGGTTGCCTTAGGAGATTTCTCACAGGTGGGATAGTGTAGGGCATCCCCACAGCCCAGACTGATCTGGTTATACCAATGTGAGAGGCAGTGGCTGGACACTCTGCCCATCCTACTTAGTACCATCTATTTCCCATATGGTGTAGAAATACAGAGGACTCTTAAGCAGGGAGGGCAGCCAGATGGCAAAGTGGATAGCACACTGGGCTTGGAATTAGGAAGACTCATCTTCCTGAGCTCAGATCTGGCTTCACACACTCACTAGTTGTGTGACCCTGAGCAAGCCACTTCACCCTGTTTCCCTCAGTTTCCTCATATGCAAAATGAGCTGAAAAAGGAAATGGCAAACCATTCCAGTATCTTTGCCAAGAAAAACCCAAAATGGGATCAGGAGTTGGACACAGCTGAAATGACTGAACAACAAATGAAGCAGAGATGTTCAGTTGGATATCACAAGGGTAGACAAATAATCATGCAAAGACATTCAGATTTTCTCATTTGTTCCAATTATTTATTATATCAGAGGAAACTAGCAAAAGCCTTTGCTGAGAATGAGCCAGGAAGCTTCTTTCAGCAGACAGGAATGAGACAATATTGTGTAGCCCATCTGAAACCTAATTTTATACAGTCAGTAAGAGGAGCCTTGCTCTTTGGGGGCCTAGAGAGCAGCATGAGAAACATAAGTGGGAGGAAGCTAGAGAGGCAGATTGAGGCTCAATGTCAGGAAAAGCTTCTTAACAACTAGAGTGCTCTGAAAGTGGAGTGGGCTGCCTCAGGAGGTACTGAAGCCCCCATTGGTGGAGTCACCTAAGCAAAATATGAATGTGCACTTGAGGATCCATTGTATACTCCTAGATTAGGCTAGATTGCATCTATGGCCCCTTTCCATGGGAAAGGACATAGCACTCTTTGAATCCCTCCTTCTGCACAATATCATTAATTCTTGTTCCTCTAGCACATGGAGCTTCAAAAGTACTTTCTCATAGCACCACTGTAAGGTAGGGAGGTACAAGGATTATTATCCCCACTTAAGGTTAGTTAACATCAGCTTCAGAGAGATTAGGGCATATGATCAAAAGTGTAGGAGGCAGGATTTGAACTCAGCTCTGCTGCGACTTCAGATCCAGTGCTCTTTCTAACAAAGAGCCTTCAGCTCTCTTTTAGTGGATACTGGGAGCACATGAAATTGCTTCTAAATTAATTTCCTCTCACATTAAATAAACCCTTTCATCCATCTCTTCAACCTTCTCTGGTACTTTGACTAATTCATCCATATATTTGCATTTATTTGTAGTATTTTTTACTTCATATGTATGTCATAAATATATATACACCTATATAAATGTTTATGCCTGTAATGTATATATGTGCATATACACACACCGTATATACATATACAAGGCTGTGTACATAGTATACAGACACATATGTCTTTTTCTTAGTCTGTCCCTTCAGAATGGAAGCTTCTGGGAAGGGGGGATTTTTTTTTTTTCATTCTTGGGGCTTGTATCCCCAGAGCCTAACACAGTACCTGGCACATAGTAGGTGCTTAATAAATAAATGCTTGATGAATTGCTTGCTTGGTTGAGATGTGTAGTCCTCTGGGAGTGTCTGCACCCAAGGAAAATCAGACACAGAGGACCATCTAGCTAGAGATGAAAGGGACCTGAGGATGTATCTAAATCAACTCTCTCTTTTTATAGATGAGGAAACTGAGTCCCAAAGAAATCAATGACTTGGCCAAGATCACACACTAATAAATAATAGGAATAAGATTTGAGCCCAGGTCCTCTTTCCCCAAAGCCAATATCTTCCCCTGTCCCCATACTGCACTGAATCTGGCTATTACTAGTCATAGCACTAATAATTCTTATAGAATTTCTTATTTCAACAATATATGGTTAGCCAACAGAAATGTGTTTTCCCTTTAAAATTTAGGTTATTGCTTACTGTAAGAGGCAACATGTTGGTAGGCTTTGAATCAAGAAGATCTGGATTCAAGTTGGCCTCAGACCTTTATTAGCTGTGTTACCTTGGACAAGTCTTTTCACTTCTCTAAAGTAGTGTTGTTGTTCAGTCATGTCAGATTCTCTGTGACCTCATTTTGGCATTTTCTTAGCAGAGATCCTGGAGTGGTTTGCCATTTCCTTCTCCAGCTCATTTTACAGGGTTAAGTGACTTTCCCAGGGCCACACAGCTAGTACATGTCTGAAACTGGATTCGAACTCATGAAGATGAGTCTTCCTGATTCTAAGTCCAGTGTTCAATGTGCTATGGTGCCCTCAGTTGCCCTTTCTCTAAGGTAGTATGATGGCAGAAAGTTCATAGTGAATAGGGTGCTGAACTTGGAGTGTATAAGATAGAGTTTACACTTGTCTCAGCTGCTTTGTAACTGTTTGATCCTGGGCAAGTCCCAACCTCTCTGTGCCTTAGTTTCCTCATTATGTAAAATGAGAGGGTTAGACTTGTGCCACTAAGGTCCTGTCTGATTCTAAATCTATGTTCCTAAGACATTTATTCATACTGGGTTTGGAGCTGAAGATTTGGATTCAAATCACTTCCATATGCTTTTGAGTTGAAAATTTTTCTCCCCCTTCCTCCCCCACCCACCCTCCCCAAGATGGCACACAATCTGATATAGGCTTTACATTTACATTCCTATTAAACATATTTTCACATTAGTGAAGTTGTAAGTAAAAATTAAAACCAATAGGAGGAACCATCGGAAAGATGAAACAAAACTCAACAGAAGGTAAAAATAAGTGATAGCAATTCGACTTCCACAGTTCTTTCTTTGGATGTGGACAGCATTTTCCATCCCGAGGCCTCTGGAGATGTCTTAGATCCTTGTAATGCTGAGAAGGGTTCAGTTTAACATTCTTAGTCATTGCATAACGTGGCTGTTATTGTGTACGATGTTCTCCTGGTTGTGCTCACTTCACTCAGCATCAGACCACATAAGTCTTTCCAGGTTTTTCTGAAGTCAGCCTGTTCATCATTTCTTATAACACAATAGTATTCCATTACATTCATATACCACAACTTGCTCAGCCATTCCCCAATTGATGGGCATCCTCTCAATTTCCAATTCTTTGCCACCACAGAAAGAGCTGCTATGAATATTTTTGTACATGTGGGTTCTTTTCCCATCTGTTTGATCTCTTTGGGATATATATGCTGGGTTATCTTAGAAAATCATTTCATCACTCTGGGCTTCAATAGCCTCATCGACACAATGAGAGGTTAGACTAGAAGATCTCTGAGGCTTTTCTCAGCACCAGTTGTATGATCCCAACTCTTAAATCAGTTGCACTAGGTGTTGATAGAGGGAGTCCCCCTGCAGATGACACCACCAACTTGGAGGTGCGGCCGTATTGACTGTGGGCCCTAGTGACTGTCATGCAGAAATGGATCCATGGCCTTGTCTATTCACCCACTCTCTGGCTGCATTTCAGAATATATAATAACTTGCCTGAAGTCAAAAAGAAGAAGGAAGAACAAAAGAAAAGGGTGATTTTACAGAGTAATCGACTACGCGCAGAAGTCTTTAAGAAGGTAAGGTATCCTTGAGAAGCCCCCACCCCCGGCCCTGATGATCCTGACTCAGAACCACCACTTCTTCTTTCTCTTCACCCCCTCTAGCAACTACTGGATCAGATCCTGCAGAGGAGCACAGACTGACCGGCAAACCCAGCAGCAGCGACTCCCGGGGTCTGAGATGACCTAAAATATTGCATAGCCAATTAAAGTTAGCCTTATCTCCATCAACCCCAAGCCCTGATTTAACCTAGGGATTTTGCATCAAGGAAGAAACCTCCCCTGATTTACAAAGTGAGCGACAGCACCAGCTCCCAGAGGAACAGCCAGCATGGAGAAATATCCTGTGTGCCCCGTGAGGTGCACACTCTGTTTTCCCCTGGGCGTGTCGCTGTTTGCTCCTGCCTTCCCCCCATTCTGACCCAGGAAGATTTTGTGATCTTTCTGGTGCATAAAAACAATGCAGGGGCCTCGTTTTTGTCTGAGTTATTTTCATTAACTTCTTAGGAGCTAAGGCTGTCCTTTCATAGAAGCAATGCCCTCCTCCCCAATCATCTCACCTCCTCCACCCCAAACCTTCCCGGCCAGGTTTAGGAACCCTTCAGAGTAGCCTGATTACCAAATGACGGCTGCAGCAGCAGCTGCAGAGTTTTCCAAGGTGGGCTAGCATGGTGCCCGGGAGCAGCCTGATCTAGTTGGGTAGCAGGGTTGAGCTGGGCTCAGGACCCTAGAGGGAATATTTATTGACAATGCCATGCTCCCTATACCTCCTCATTTCCCTCTGTCATTACCTTAGTGGGAGTATCAATTTCGATAGAAGATCTGTGGGCAGAAATAAAGTGTAAGGCTATAGGAAAATCCAGTGTTTTCTACCCCCCCCAAAAAAAATGACCTTTCTGTTTTCAAAAAAGACTTCTGATAAAATTGTCATATTGGCCTTCCAGACTCTTACAATTTCCTTTATTTATACATGTATATTTTGGAAGTTATACAGGAAACTAGTTTTTAAAACAAAATGGAAATAAATATTATTTTAAAAGTCTCAACATTTTGGTGTTATTGTTTTTGTTTTTAGTTTTTATCTGAGTAAAAGTGAAGCTTCCATCCTAAACTATACAAAATATTTGGTATGGGATCTCCCAAGGTCTTCCCAGCAGCTCCCAGAATTCTCTTCTCTGTTATGCTACTTCTGCCGATGATTCTCAGGTGAGAGCAGAGGTAGAATGAGAACAGAGGCTTTGCAATCAAAGGACCCACTGGGTCTGGGTCTTGGCCCTGCCATCCATGGAAAATCGACTTCCTCTCCCTGAGACTCAGTTTGCTCCTCTGTGAAATGGGGGAGTGGGAGTAGATTGCCTCTGAGGCCACTTTCCCCTTTTAATCTGGTCCTGGGCTTCTCTGGTCCTTCTCTCTTCAGAATACTGCAGTGGGCTATTGCTCCTTTCCCCAGCTGTCTAGTGATGCAGCAGGTGAGAGCCCCTGGAAGGAATGCAATGGGATACAATGTAATCCAAAACAGATTTATGGAGAGAAGGCCTAACAGGTGCCAGTCACTGGGTAAGCAAGGACCAAAAGGAGAGAGTTTGCCTGCCCTAATGAAGCTTACGGATGGGGAAAAACACATGCTCAGAGAAGAGTCGATGCTGCCCTTGCCTTCCCCCCTCTACACACAAGTGATAGCCAGGGGTCTCCCTTCCCCAGACAGTACAGACTTTACCTGAAGTGAAGTGGAAGGGGAAACAGAAGAGGATGAAGAGGAGGAGGAGGAGGAAAGAAAAGAAAGAATGGGGAAGAAAGACTAGGACTTCTGGAGGCCTGAAATCCAATAAGACCTAAATGTATGGAATCTCAGGGTTGGTCCCTGAGCCTCGGACATAGGCATGGACATAGGCATGAGCTTGGACAGAGCGTGGCTTGGAGGGGAAGCTCAGGGTCACAGCCCTAGCTGACCCCAGGGGCCACTTTTTAAATTTCCCATCAACATGCTAGAAGAGCAGGAGATGGGGTGTTACATGTGAGAAACAATACCAGTCGTCTACAGAGCCCTGGACTCAGAGCTGGAGGAGATGCAGGGCTGGAGACGGTACCATCCCTGCCCAGGAGGAGCTTGCAATGTCCCAGGGCCATGATGAAAAGACCCACGATCTTAGTGTTGTGCCCTGTCCTCCAGCAGCAACCTCAGCCCTTACACACACACATACACACACACACACACACACACACACACACACACATCTTAGTTGTGATATATATGTTGTGTAAAAGCTCTTCTCTAGTGGCTGATCTGGTGGGGAACCTCTCCAAACCTGAGCCAGGAAGCTACATGCACCATCACTAGGCCTGTGCTTGGAAGCTTTCCAATGTGGTAGGAAGTGGGTCATGTTTCTGTTTCACTGACAAAGCCTTCAAAGACACAGGAGCCCCTCCGTGCCCCTGTGAGGCATCACAGAATAACTTTACCGAGCCAGCTCCAATATTCGCTATTATAAGTTGGTGTAAAACAAGGTCTTAAGTACTGTCCTGGAGGGAAGCCCTGTTATTGATGGGAAGGGACAGAAGGCTTCCTAGTAGGGCTGGCATTTCAGTCGGACGCTAAAGGAGGGGAAGGAATTTAATGAGCAGAAAAAAGAGAAGACACATCAGTGCAGGAGGCAAGGTGAGCAAAGAACAAAGGTAAGAAAGTGAAAGTTCATTTCCGGGGCCAGTGGGGAGAGCAAGTCAATAGTCCACTGTGCCTGGAACCCAGTGAAACCGAACTGCTTATTGGCTGGCTGGCTGGCTGGCTAATCCACTTTCACTGAAGCTAAAGGGCAGAAATCGTTTGAGATGAGGCCAGAAAAGCAGGCAGGGCAGATGGTGTCCGATTTAAGAAGACCTTGAAAGCTGGTGAAGGAGTCTGAACTTGACTCAGGAGGCACTAGGGAGTCTCTGAAGACGTCTGAGCATGAATGTCACCCTCAGTTCTCTGTACACTGCAGTCTGGCGGTGGTTTGAGGATGTTATCGGAGGAGGGAGAATTTTGAGGCAGGAAGATCCGTTGAGGTATTTATTGCAATAGCCCAAGAGGACAGTGATGAGGACCTATACTAGGGTAAAGGCATTAGTGGGGGAGGGCTGGGAGAGACACCCTGGAGGTGGAATGGACACACGCTAACTGATGAATTTGGTGCCTGGATAAGGGAGGGGAAACTTTCCTTCATTTCGGCTCAGTGTTTATTAGTGCCAGGCGTGCTATGGGAGGTTTGGGGGACAAGACCCAAAATATTCCTACCCTCCAAATACTTGACACTTACTAGCTGTGTGACCTTGGGCAGTCACTTAACCCCAATTGCCGAAAAGAAAAGAAAAGAAAAGAAAAGAAAAGAAAAGAAAAGAAAAGAAAAGAAAAGAAAAGAAAAGAAAAGAAAAGAAGGCAAAGGCCAAATTCCAAAAATGTAGCCTGAGCAGACAGTGAGGTCCCTGAGAGGAAGAGTAACCATGGTTCTTTCAGAGGGGCAGCTTGGCTCCTGGTCTCTGTCTTTGCTCTTAGAAAGTCAGGAGTGCTGTCTACTACTACGCCAAACATCAGGAGTCTCCTCTGAGCTTGGTCAAAAGTGTTCAGATATACCAGTTATGCATGGCCCGACCACTTTCTTCACAGGCACAACAAACAGCTTTGATGAATCGTGGTGGGCCTTCGTGCTTAACTATGGGTGTTTGTTACAAGGGTTTTGTTTTTCTTTTTCTTCAATGGGCAAGAGACGGTGAATGGGGAGAAAATAGGCTTTTGCTCATTGAAAAAAATAAAATTCCATCTAAAAAATGGATGTGGCATAAATCTAAGAATAAATATGTATCAGCTTGAGAAGAAACATTCTAGTGAAATTTTTCAAGGGCATTTAGTAGCTGAGATGCCTGAGGCAGGAAGAGTAAAAAGATAAGAAATGGGGAATGTTGGTTTGAGGATTCTTTCCAGCAGCCCTGTCCTCTCAAAACCCTTGGAAAGGTGAGCTTATCTTTTTGGTTGTGTTTGTAATGCTAAGGAGTAAATATCAGCTTTGTAGCAGTAGGCCTGGTATGCATCTCATCGCTTTCATGGTCAAGTCAGGCTTAGCCCCAAACTCAAAATGGTGCGACAGTCTGAGCCAGCTACTTGACCCGACCTTCTGAGAGGCGCTTCTCCTTCTAAGGAGCCACGTTCCTGTTGGCCAGGATCCTTCTTTCCAGATTGTAGTTGCTGGGAAAGGCTTTGAAATCGTCTGAATTTATGCTCAATTTTCTATTCCTCTTAATCAAATGTTGAAAGTGAGAAGTATTTTCAAATTGTAACTGTTTGTGTCTAGCATAAACGCTTGGATCTGGCTTAAAAGGACTGGGTTTGAGGTCAGGCTTCATCACTTGCCAACTGTGTGACTTTGGGTAAGTCACGACCATCCTTCGGGCCTTGGATGCCTGTGAAATGGAGGAGTTGGGCCAGATGGCCTTGTTGCCTTTTTGGTGCTGTCATAGAATAACAGCAGGGCCTGAAGAGGCCTTAGAAACAGGCTGGTCCAGATCCCCCATTTTACAGATAAGAAAACTAAGGCTCAGACTACATCGCAGAGCGCTGTGAGCCTTGGCTCCAGGATCTAAAGTAAGCTTTTGCTGGGCCAGAGTCAGAGGATCTGAGTCTGCTGCAGGCTACTCCCGTGACCTTGGGCACCTTTAACTGCTCTAAATCTCAATATTCTCACCTGTGAAATGGAGGCATTGCACCAGAGCAGTCTTTAAGGTCCCTTCCAGTTCTAAGCCTCCGATGCTGCTTGAGGGGGATGACAAGTGACTTCCGAGAGGCAAAGGCCAGCTGCTTCCAGGCCTCAGGAGCTCTCCTCCTGCCTCCATGTTTTTCTACCCCCATGTCTGGGATATTCCCCATCCTGACTGAGAGTTCTCATTGAGTCATTTTGGTCGTGTCTGACTCTTCATGACCCCATTTAGGGTTTTCTTGGCAAGGATACTGGAATGGTTGGCCATTTCCTTCTCCAGTTCATTTGACAGATGAGGAAACTGAGGCAAATAGGGTCAGGTGACTTGCCCAGGGTCATTCAGCCAGTAAGTGTCTGTGGTTGGATTTGATCTCAGGAAGATGAGTCCTCATTCCAAGCCCAGTGCTCTATCTACTGAGCCACCTGGCTCAATTCTCCAGAAGCCCAGATCAAACACTGCTGCCTGTGCTCGGCCTTTCTTGACTTCCCTGGTCAGCATCACTCTTTCTCTCACAAAATGGACTTGTCTATACCTGACATCTAATGAGTTGCACACCTGTTGTTTCTGGTTTTCAGGGTGTCAGCACCCTGAGCATGAATTTATAAGCTGCTGTTCACTTTGGTCTGTCTATTCCCAATGCCTATCGCGTAATTGGTACGGAAAAAAGATGCTTTTGATTTGTGACTGCAACTTTCCTAAGCCAATGGAGATAGCCAGAGGCCATTGTTCACCAGCTTTATTTTAAAATGACCACAGTTATAAGCTAAGCAATTGGCTAAGCTTGAGATACACAAGCTGCAGCAATGTGGGGCTGATGTGTCGTGCATCTTTGTGGCTTCATTTTGAAAAAGAAATTCCTAATTTGGTCATTTGCCCTTTCCACCAGTTAGTAATGGGATAATGGAAAAACAATTGGCTTTCCCAGCCAACATCTTCTGCCAACCAAACTTCCTGGAAGCCCTGCACTCCCAGAGCCTGAGTCAGCACATGCTTCCTCCCTCAGATGTCAAAATACTCTTTGTGAAAGAGCCAGGGGTTCAAAAGCGGTTGGATGAAATCCCATTGGTTGAGAGTTGAGATGCTGCTGTCTCCACACTAGTTGGGATGGAGGCGAGAGGAAATGGCTTTGAACTCTGGCAGTTGGAGATGGCCGTTAAAGCTGACCAACAGACTGAGAAGGCAGAGTACCAGAGCCACATCAAGGAATAAAAAGGGAAAGAGGGGAGAATGCCAAGATGCGGTGGCTGTGCCTGAAAGGTGTGTGAAAGGCCAGCGTCTGACAGG